TTTGTCTTTTCATATTGTCTTGGATTTCTTGGACGGTCTGTGTCAGGAATTTTTTGGATTTAACATTTTCTTTGACAGATACTTCGATTTCTTCCATTGTATCTTCTACACCTGAGATTCTTTCTTCCATTTCTTGTATTCTGTTGGTTATGCTTACCTCTGTAGTTCCTGTTTTCTTCCCTAAATTCTTCCTCTCCATTATTTCCTCCATTTGTGTTTTCTTTAATTTTTCTAGTTCTATCTTCAGGTCTTGAGTTGTTTTGTTTACTTCCTTCACCTGTCTGCTTGTATTTTCCTCTTTTTCTTTTAGTTCCTTCAACTCTGTCTCTTTGATTTCTTTCAGTGATTTAATTATTTCTTCTCTGAAGGCCCCAAGCTGTTTGGCTGCATCTTCCCGTATTTCTTCACGGATGGCCCTAATCTGCTTGTCTTTATCTTCTTCCATTTCTTTACGGATAGCCATGATCTGTTTGGTTTTATCTTCCTCTAATTCTTTACGTATTTTATTTGTCTCCTCTATTATCCTCTTCATCAACATAGATGTAAAGTCATCTTCTTGATTTTCTATTATGCTGCATTGTTCAGGGCTGTTCGCTTCTGGATGGCTGGGTTCTGGAGATGCCATATTGCTCTGTCTTTTGTTGGTTGAGCCTTTACGCTGACCTCTACCCATTGGGCTGATTTAGGTGTTGGCTGTTAGTTTCTGTGCTTCCTGGAGTCCTGAGGTAGGGAGTATCCCCTTGGCCGGAAGATGATTTTTCCTGAAGAAGTCCTTCTCTGCTTTTTGGTTATGGTCACTGTATGGCCAGTGTTTCTCAGGAGTTGCCACTGCTCACCTCAGGTTTATAGCCCTGAGTAGTAGCTGAGGTCTATGTTAGGCAGGGGGGGATCTCCTCTTATCCATAGAATTTCTCAAGACAGCTGCCCCACTGCTGGGTTTCTTGTTATAAATTTAGTGTGCTGCTGCTCACTAAATTTCCATGTATAGTCCTCTTGAAGAAACTGCTGGTTCCCTAGCTGTGGGGTTTTCTCCCAACAGGGAAACTCAGTCTGTTATCCTGGGTCGCACAGTTCTGTCCAGGAAAGTGGGAGGTGCACTCAGCAAGTCTCTGGGCCAGAGGCTGATTGCTCCGCTCTGGACCTGGAGAAATTGCACCTAGGTTGAGTTGGCGCCTGGGGACACTGCTCTGGTCTGGAGGCTGGGTGCCTCACTGTGGACCAGAAGCTGTGTGTCCCTGTCTGGGATGGCGGCTGTAGGCACCTCTCTGGTCCAGACGCTGTGGGTGCAGCCCCCCTGAAGGACCAGGGATTCCCACAGTTTTGACAGTCCAGCCAGGGATAACTGGTCGATCCCTGCCACAGTATCCGAGGGCTGCTGTAATGGGTCTCTGGCTCCTGCAGGTCCGAGGATGCAGCTGTGTGTCCCAGTGCCCCAGGGGAACTGAACAATGGTGGCAGAGCACAGCGCTCCTGCCTGCACTAGAGTCTGCGTGAGTCCAGGAAGTGTTTTGGTGCTGGGTGTCCTAAGCGTTAGAGCTGCTGACCCCCTCCGCTGGGGGTTTCCTCCTGCCAGAGACACGCAGTCTGGTGCCCTGGTGCTCTGGTGCCCACAGTTCTATCTGAGGCGGCGAATCAGGCGCGCAGACATGGCTCCGTGCGGGCGCCTTTGTCCTGGCTCTGGGTCTGGGCTGGCTCCTGGGGCACCCGTGGAACCCGAGTCTTTTCCAGGGGATGTCTGGGTAACCTGGGGTTGGTCCCAATTGTTTCCTGCTCCGTGGGGTTATCTCTCGACTGGGAAATCCAGTCTATGGTGTTGTGGGCCCACAGTTCAGTCTGGGACCGTGGCCAGATTGCGCTGGCGGGTAGCTCTGGGCTGGCGACCAAGCGCCTGGAGGAACCGGGATCTCTTCAGCGGTTTAGCCGGGTGAGTTAAAGCTGATTGAATCCCCCACCGTGGGGTATCCTCTCACCTGTGAAACATAATCACTTGTGCTTTATGGCCGAGAGTTCTGATTGCTGGTCACTGTGCCAATCCTGCTGTGCTGCTCCTCAGAATGAGAGTCCTCCTGGCGCCACCATCTTGCCCCCTAGGCTATCTCTTTAACTGATGTGTAGAGATTGGTGGTCTAGCCTAATCTGTTTGGATTCATGGATATGAGGCTTTTGCCTTAAACTCTGGTCATGGAAGGCCGATGTTGACATTAAGGAGAAAACTGAAGATAAAAAAAAAGTATAAGCCCATTTGCTTCTCAAATACTGATAATATGCTTTGGTCATATCAACTTGTTTTCTCAAGAGTTGACTGATGTGGAAATGTACCTATTCAATATGTTTATGTAGTTATAGGGACAAAAGATAGTCACAGACTACCAAAAGCCCTTTCCACACCACACTGAAATGATGACTTTGGTATATAGTCTTAGATCCTTAGGTTGCTGACGTTTTCTACTAGCTAATGGGTCGCAATGAGTATATCTTTGTTTCAAAAGAATTGCATTGCAGCCCAATTGCTCCTGTACCTCTGAGAGCTACCTTTGGGAATTACTGTACCATAGCTCTATACTGTCTCCACTAGAGTTTGTATAAAAAGTACCTACTAAGTTCTGGCCCAAGGTCAGCTTCAAAGACCACATGGAAGTGCTGCAGCCTCCCAATGACCACCAGTTTGTGCTCATTGCCATCTAAGAAGTACCCAATTACAAATTCATGTTTGCCTCTGTTCCTGGACGGAAGATTTGCAGACTATTAATACAAGGTTTGCTGGCTGACCTTTATCCTCCATAAACTGTCATGTTTGATCAATCATGCTCTAAGATATCTGTCAATGGGAACTTCCAGAGAGAAACAATTAGATGCAGGATCCAAGCTATGAGCAGCTTTGCCAATGGGAAGTTTTTTTGGAAGAAAAGCACAATTTTATGGCCTATAGAATTTCCCATAACTGGGATGCCTTATCTAGCCTCAATAGCAGATGTGCCTATTCATACTGCAACTTGATATGTCAAGTCAGGTTGATATTCATTGTAGGCCTCCCCTTTTCTGAGGAGAAAGAGAGGATAGGGTTGCAGGGGGTAGAGGGTAAGAGGTAGGGACTGGAAGGAGACAAGGGAGGAGAAGCTTAAATTGAGTTGCAAAGTAAATAAATTAATTAAAAATTGCCTGAAGAATAAAATTAATTTCTGGTACAAAACATGGATGTTCAGGAAATGGTTGACAGACAGCATCTACTATAGAATTTGTGTATTAGAGGATCTTTGGTAATTACAAAAGAATGTATGCTATATCAATACTGTAAAACATTTATTATTGAATTTGGTATAAATTTCTAAAGGAAATTCTTCTAATGAATATATTTGGAAAAAATAAAATACAACTCTATACTTTAAGGACTAAGGTGGTTTTAATGAATCAGGTATGATCTACACTTTCAAACTTAGTAAGCATGTGATGAGGGATTTGATGTTTAAAAAGTCTCTGTGACCTTGAAGAAAACAGCATACTGGATTAGGACAGATCAGTAGAAAATTATCATCACTTTTCTGAACAAGATAGACTAAAAGAGATCAGCTTTATACTTTGAGAAAAAATAATGTTCAAGACACTGGCCGTGAGGCAGCAAAAACTGATCCCCTATTAAAATGGGAAATGAGCCATTGTTTATTGGCTTTAGACCATTGCTCAGGGAGGAAGAACCCAGGCCAGAGACCCTGCACTCTCTATAAATTGAAGAGATTAAGATAGACAACGTGATCTAGGAAACGCACCACCTAATGAGAAAACAGGCAGCAGTGCCTTGCATCCACACAATGCCTCTAAGATTATCTATTTTGATAGAGAAAATGTGAGACAGATTTCATATAAAGACAATAAGTCAGACTTGCATTGATCGTTTCATCCAAAATACTGCAAATGAAGGACTGGGGAGATGGCTCATGGATTTGTTCAGAACAATTGTTGCCTTTCCAGAGGACTTGACGTTTTCTAGCACCCACATGCCAATACAACCATTTTTAACTCCAGTCCTAGTAGATCTGACACCCTCTTCTGCACTCCATGGATACCAGGCACACACTTTATACACAGACAATGCAGGCAAAATGCCAGTACACATAAAATAAAATAATAACAAAAATACTGTAAGTAAGAAAACAGTACATCTACATCTTCAAAACACTGGCAGGAAAAAAAAATCAACCAAAGTATCACCATAGAATTCTATATAGATTTTTAAATATAATTTTATATAAAAAAATCGGTCAAAAAGCAAGTCAAGGCCAGGTGTGATGTTATACACCTGTAATCCCAGCCTTCTAGAGGAGGAATTTTGTGCTGACCTGATTTGCAGGCCAACCAGCACTAACTACACAGCAAAACTTGGCCTTTAAAAAAAAAGAAAGCTCACACAAAACAAAACAAAATAAAAACCAAGCCAAAAAGCAGTAGGAGGAATCATGCTACATAATGAGGCATTACTCTACTTTTCAAAATCGGAAAGATTCATCACTAGTAAGCATGCAGTACATGCTTTTTTAAAATTTATTTTCAGTGCCATGATAGTATCAAAAACATGAAATATCTGGAAAAAATTAGAGAGGGAAAAACACTGTGACAGACATACACTAAAAACAACAAAACAATACCAAGCCAAATAAAAGAACACATACAGAAATGTTTTTTTATAGGTCAGAAAACCCACTATTGTTGAAATAACAATATTTACAATAGTCACGAAAAGGTGAATACAATATTCATAAAAGCATTCTGTGAAATCCCAGAAGGAAATAATTGGAAAGTCGTGCAGTGGAACAATGAAGTGTGTTTAATTCTTGGCCAACAGAATGGAAGGAGCCAGTGCAGGGGTGTCTGGGTTGGGGGAGCACTTGGTTTTGCCCATTCTAGTAGAATTTCAGCCACATAGTCCTTGTCTCTTAGCAACCTGAGCAACCCTCGGAAAACAAGCCTTTTGAGGCCGGGGCAATTGCCTCAGATCCAGGGGTACCATGGAGGAGCAGTGGCTTCCATGGAATCGTCCCCGGAAGGTAGTTCAGCCAATGCCTCTGGGCATGACCTACAAGCCCTGGTTCAAGGATAGGCTGCCTTCTAAGTGTTTAGCAAAGCACAAACAGGAACAACTGAAGTTCCCTAAGTCTCTGGATGGCCGACGTTGGCTGTTTGTGAAGAAAGGGCTGGATGATTTCAGGAAGGGCTGTCCTTCTTGTGAAGGTATGATTCTTCGTGGCCCCAATGAGGGCTTTCTCCCCACAATTTCGCATGAAGTCCGCCGTGGCTCCAGAAAGACTCAGCAAAAATGGTGCCAGAACTTAAGCTCGTTTTCCTCTCTGTCGCGGACCAAGAAAGCACGCAAGACCTTTGTGGAGAGAACCGAAGCAAACTTGACCCAGCATCCCTTGGCTTTCTGGCCCCTGGAGGAAGCAATTTCTGAAGATACCTTATTAAAAGTTCTGAAAATTCTTGACCCTGACCGGAGGTTGGAGGAGAAATGGAATTACTGTGAGGGCCGCAGAAAATCTATAAATGAGCCTACAGTGGCTGAGACATGCTCTGACAATGAAGTTGACACGGAACCTCCCGAGTTTCCTTGGTCATGTATATATAGTATGCTTAATGAAAACAAGTCTGAGACACAGGACTCCAGTGAGTCTCTTTATAACAGGTACACACCCAAAGAAGTCTATGACTTCTGTGAATGGGTTGAGTCACTTGGAGTCATGGACATTGACGAAGAGTTCATGATGAAGCAATTTGACATTGGCTATGAGTGCAAACAGATCTATGATGACTGTGCCATCAAGAAAATCAGCCTGCTTCCTCCTGAGCTCAGGTACTGCAGGAGGCTGAGCAAAGTGAAGGAAATCAGATTCTCCATACAGGAGTCAAACTTTGAAAGGAAACTCCGAAAACCACAAGATCCTTACAAGCACACCAGAGATAAGATTAGATATGGAGCATGGTATCTAAAGCCGTCTCTGTGGAAAAAGCTAGTAAATGATGAACCTTTAGAGGATCCTGCACTTCAAAGTGGAAAGACAGAAAAACCAGACGTCATTGAAGACCTTTATGGAACAATTGCCTTTAAGGATTTCATCATAAGCAAAGGCTACACTATGCCAAGCATCCTTGAGAAACTGTTTATGAGGAAAGGATGGGATTATGACACTGTCAAAACTCCAATACCAAGAATACTAAAAGCACATGAATTGCTCATGCAGAAAAAGGATGAAGATTATGATGATGAAAATGACTAGGTGTTTTCCCATTTTACTTGACTTTATTCTGCTCTCATTTCAAACATAAAAACTAATAAAAGCAGAATTACTACACTTTAGATTCTGTGACATCAATTACAACACAAGATAAATATTAAAAAATTGCAATTGTTTATGTAAGAGAAAATTTCGATAGCTTCAGCTAAATGAAAAACTTAAGGAAACAATTACAGTGATTATTTTTCAAACCAAACTTGACACTACAGCTGAAATAATGTCTGTTTTCTTGTTTTTCATTCTAGTTTGATACTTTTTTTTGAACCAAAAAATAAATATTTGTTTCTTTTATGGATACAAATAGGACTGTGTGTTCCAAACAGAAACATATACTTAACCAACTAATTAGGAAAGTATTGATGTCATGAATGTGTGTCCAGTATATAAGAAAGAATTCTTTTTAAAATTAATTTATATTTTAATTAATTACAGTTTATTCACATTGTATCCCAGCTGTAGCCCCCTCCCCTCCCCCTCCAAATCACACCCTACCTCCCTCATCTCCTCCCATACCGCTCCCCAAGTCCACTAATAGGGGAGGTCCTCTTCCCCTTCCATTGACCCTAGCCTATCAGGTCTCATCAGGACTATTTGCATTGTCTTCCTCTGTGGCCTGGCAAGGCTGCTTCCCCATTAGGGGGAGGTGAAGAAAAGTTTTATTTCGTTTTTAGTCATATGAATATAAGTGTGTTTGTGCAAGTAACCTGTGGATGCACAAGAAAATCTAGGGGATCAGATTCCTCGGGCTGGAGTTACAAGTGATTGTGAGCCACCTGTTGTAGGGTCTGAGAATCAAATTCAGGTCCTCTGGAAGAATCATCCTCTTTAATTGCTGAGTCATCTCTCCAGTCCCACAGTCGATATTTTTGAGAGCTAACTAAAGATTTAAAGAGATTGACAGGTAAAGATTTTAGTTTTAGGTTCATTTTGAACGTTCATATACACAGACACTCAGTACATTTTTAAAGCAATTATATTTTCTATTTGTGTATGATAGTAACACATGTAATATTTTCAGTATTAAAACCATTTTAGAAATAGAGTTTGCAAATATTTAAAGTATTCTTACTCATAATAATTATTGAAATTTTTTTTCTGCCTTGTCTTTTGAATTGATATGCCATGCTTTTCATGTCATATCCAAGAAGTTAATTCTCCTACCAATATCAAGGAGATTTCTTCCTATGCTCTTTTTTTTTTCTACTGGTAATATTAGTGATTTCAGGTGTTACACTTACATCTTTAATCCATTTATGTTCTCTTTCCCCCTGTGGTGACAAGTTCAGAGAATAAACTGGATTGTTGGTACATATTTGATGAAAAAAAGAAATGATGAGGAACTATATGTAAGTTTTATTGTTATTTTTCAAACATTTCCCCACACTTTAACAATACAAACATGTTCTACCTTCATCTTCTTTTATATAAAAACTGTGAAATTCTCCCTGTTGCTGGTGATTTCTGCTTCCCCAAATTCTTTTCCTGAGTGATCAGAATTGATGAACGTTTCCTAAATTAGATAACATCTCTTTTTCATCATTTTTTACTCTACACAAAAAAGCCTGTGTTTCATTTTGTTTATGTTGTTGGTGGTGGTTTGTTTGTTGCCTTGCTTTCTCAAGACAGGGTCTCACTGTGTAGCTCGGCCTGTCCTGGAACTCACTATGTAGACCAGGCTGGCCTTGAACTCACAGAGATCTTTTTGCACATTTATTTTTTAATGAATTATTTATTGATTATGTGTATGGATGTTTTGCCTGCATATGTCTGTGCACCATGTGGGTGAGGTACCCACTGAAGCCAGAAGAATATATCCTCTGCAAAGGCAGGAAGTGCTTTTAACTGCTGAGACATTTCTCCAGCCTTCATACTGTAATTATAAAGAATATTATGGTTTTTATAAATTTAATGACATTTTATCCTAATTTACCATTTTTTAAGAAGAACATCAAATGTTTGTTTGAGCACATTGTATGAGAAAAAAATGTCATTGATATTTTGTTGTTGTTGTTGTTTGTTTGTTTTTGAGGCAGGGCCTCTCTACATAGCCTTGGATGTCTAGAATTCATCCTGTAGATAAATCAAAGGCATGTGCCACAATGCCCTGCAGATGCACAGTATTTTAAACTATAATTGATAACTTCCATAGTAGTTGAAGGAATAATATAAAACAAACAGACTGGTAGAAACCATACAATGGAATATAGATAGACTCTTCAACAAATGGTGCTGGTGTAACTGGATGTCTACATGTAGAAAATGCAAATAGATCCATATTTAACACCCTGCACAAAACTAAAGTTCAAGTGTATCAAAGACCTCAACAGAAATCCAAACACGATAAATCTGTTGGTTTGGGCTTTTTTTTTTTTTTTAAATCAAAGATTCAGTATTTGTACAAGTGTGGGTTTATTTCTGGGTCTTTGATTGGATTCCATTGAGTCTGTTTCTATGCCAGTACCATGCCATTTTTATTACTGTTGCTCTACAGTACAGCTTGAAATCAGAGATTAAGATACTTCCAGAAGATCTTTTACTCTACAGGGTTGTTTTAGCTGTCCTGGATATTTTTGTTTGTATGTTTTTCCATACGGAATTGAGAATATTTCTTTCAAGGTCTGTAAAGAATTGTGTTGGTATTTTGGTGGGAATTGTATTAAATCTGTAGATTGCTTTTGAAAGGATGGTCATTTTCACTCTGTTAATCCAACTGATCTATGAACATGGGAGATCTCTCCATCTTCTGATACTTGCTTCAATTTCTTTCTTCAAAGACTTAAAGTTTTTTTTTTTATACAGTTCTTTAACTTGCTTAGTTAGAGTCACAACAAGGTACTTTATTTGTTGCTATTGCGAAGGGAGTTGTTTCACTGATTTCTTTCTCGGCCCATTTGTCTTGTATACAGGAAGGCTTCTGATTTTTTTTTTTGAGCTAATTTTGTATCCAGCCACTTTGCTGAAGGTGTTTATCAGCAAAAGAAGTTTTCTGGTAGACTTTTTGAGGTCACTCATATATACTATCATATTATCTGTGAATAGTGATACTTAAACTTCTTCCAATTTGTATCCCCTTTATCTCCTTTAGTTGTCTTATTGCTATAGCTAGGACTTCAAGTACTTTGTTGAAGAGATATGGAGAGAGTAGGCAGCCTTGCCTTGTCCCTGATTTCAGTGGGATTGATGAAGTTTCTCTCTGTTTAGTTTGATGTTGGCCTGCTGTATTTTGCCTTTACTGTATTTAGGTGTGTGCATTGTATTCCTGATCTCGCCAAAACTTTAAACATGAATGGGTGTTGGATTTTGTGAAATGCTTTTTCAGCATCCAAGGACCTGATCATGTGGGGTTTTCTTTTCCCTTCTGTGTTTTTTTTTTTTGTTGTTGTTGTTGTTTTGTTTTTGTTTTTTTTATGTGGTGGATTACATTGATGGAATTCCATATATTGTACCACGCCTAGGATGAAGGGACATGGTGGATGATATCTTTTATGTGTTTTTGGATTCAGTTTGCCAGCATTTTATTGAGTATTTTTGCATTAATATTCATAAGAGAAATAGGTCTGAAGTTCTCTTTTTTTGTTGGGTCTTTGTGCGGTTTAGGTATCAAGGTGAATATGGCCTCACAGAAAGAGGTTGGTGATGTTCCTTTTGTTTCTATTTTGTGAAATAGCTTGAAGAGTATTGGAGTTAGCTCTTCTTTGAAGGTCTGGTAGAATTCAGTGCTGAAACCAACTGGTGCTGGGAATGTTTTTGGAAGGGAGACGTTTGATGACTACTTCTATTTCCTTAGGGGATATAGAACTATTTAATTTACTTAATTTACTTGATAGTGGAATCTATCAAAAAATTGTCCATTTCATTTAGATTTTAAATTTTTGTATCATCTAGGCTTATTGAAGGAGGACCTAATGATTGTTTGGATTTCCTCAGTGTCTGTTATTACATCTCCCTTTTCTTTTCTGATTTTGTTGATTTGGATAGTATCTCTCTGCCTTTTAGTTAGTTTGGCTAAGGGTTTGTCTATCTTGTTTATTTTCTCAAAGAAGCAGCTCTTTGTTTGTTTGTTTGTTTTATTCTTTGAATCGTTCTCTTTGTTTCAACTTGTTAGTTTCATGCCTGATTTTGATTATTTCCAGCTGTCTACTCTTCTCGGTGTGTCTGCTACTTTTTTCCAAGGGCTTTCAGGTGTGCCCTTAAGTTGCTTGTATGAGATATCTCAAACTTCTTTCTGTAGCCACTTAGTGCTTTGAGCTTTCCTCTTAGCACTGCTTTCACTGTGTCCTGTAAGTTTGGGTAATTTGTGCTTTCATTTTCACTTGATTTTAGTAAGTCTTTAATTTCTTTCTTTATTTCTTCCCTGACCTAGCTGTCATTGAATAGAAATTTGTTTAGTTTCCATATGTGTGTAGGATTTTTGCTATTCCTGTTGTTGTTGAGGTCTAGTTTTAGACCATGGTGGTATGATAGGATACAAGGAATTATTTCAAACGTCTTGTATCTGTCCAGGCTTTCTTTGTGCCAGACTATATGGTCAACTTTTGAGAAGGTTCTGTGGTGTGCTGAGAAACAGGTATATTCTTTTGCGTTTGGGCAAAATGTTCTGTAGACACTTATTAGGTCGATTTGAATTAAGACCTGTGCAAGCGTTGTTATTTCTCTATTTAGCTTCTCCCTCTCTCTATATATATATATATCCCTTGCTGACAGTGGGATGTTGAAGTCTTTCACTACTAGGGTGCTGTGATCATTATGTAATTTATATTCAGGAGCTCTTGTGTTTGGGGCATAGGTGTTCAGAATTGTGATGTGTTTCTTGTGGATTTTTTTTTTTGTTAAGAATGAAGTGTTCCTCCCCATCTTTTGTGATTAATTTCTTTTGAAAGTCTATTTAATTTGCTATTAGAATGGCTATTCCAGCTTGCTTGTTGGGTTCTTTTGCTTAGAAAATCTTTTTTTTAGCCCTTTACTATGAGGTAATGTCTATT